AATGTTTCATTGTGGCTATAAAACAAATATTTTAAATTTGTGGCATCACCTTTACATCACATAAATAAAATGTAATATTTTCTATTTTCTATTTTCTATTTATTTATTATAACCATCATTTTTACAAGTTTATATTTAACTTACCTTGTTAATATGGGTCAAATCTTGCAACTGAATTTTAAAACAGTTATCCCCAACCAATTGAGCTGAAATTTTGCATACACGCACAGTTTGGATGACAATGCATGGTTAGCTAAGTGACGTCATTCTAAATCCAATATGGCAGATTCTCACCAAAAATGGCGAACCAGTTATTTTTTATGCACCCGTATGATATGGGTATCAAATGAAAGGGTTTGCTGAGAATAATACGAAAATGATGTCACTAAAAGCTTGTTTTTAATTTTTTTTATACATGAACTTATTTGTTACAAATACCTAGACCCTTTAAATTAATTTTATTACAAGACTAATATCTATAATATAAAGATTCAGGAAACAATTTCTTCATTATCAGTCTTTGCAAATGCGTTCTTTCGTTTTATGGGAAAATTTATATGGCATCTGAAAAAAATGCAAAAAGTGCAATTTTGGTATGTTATGTACATACCCAATTCAAGCTTGATTGTTTACTTTTACACTTTTTTTATTTACCACACTTTAATTATCTGGATATTTTACTTTTAAAATAACATTAAAATGCTCTTACTCTAAACGGTTTGATTTAAAAAATCTAACCAAGGATATCACATCGCAGTGTATAGCAACCATAGGCTGATTTATCTATTCTTTTCTTATTTGCCAAATATGTAAGCAATCTAAGGTAAGTAAAGTTTCTCTATGAGTAACAGAAATTGTAGTCTCTAATGTTGAATAATAATACCAACACACAATATAATTAATTACGTACTTTAGAGAAATGGTTTTAATTAGTGCAAATGAACTTTTTGTCTGTCTTCTATGTTTAAATTTTATCAATGTTGCTTGTGTTATTTTTCACTTCCTAGATTTAAGTAGAAGTATTCTTTATATTTGTATTAATTTTAACAAATGACAAAAAAATACGTTGGTTAAAGTCAGCACGGCAGTATGTGCAACTTGGTACCTATATTTTTCCTTATTAAGTCTATATCAGTTTCATTCTTATTTTTGACAGTAGGCAGTTAACGCTAAGTATTCTGAATTTTCATGAACATTTTGTAAATGTATATGATAGAATAGTGTATACACGAAAAGTTAAAGTATAAATCTTTGAAAAGTAAAATTAACAATTAAAAGTATATTTACTCACAAACTTTTACACGATGAAATAGACCTTGTGATAAATAAAAGAAGCGCAGAGCTGTAAAGTACACTTGAGTACCACTAAAAGTTGCAGTTATAGCATCTGACGCACAGTCGCCCGGTTTAATAAATAATCACTGTTTGGCACAGAAAATTCTCAAATTGATGGCGATGTCATGCATTTTTCATTTCCATTTGCGACACACACGGAATGCCTGTTTTCATTTAATCTGTTATGCAGTTCAGCTACTATCAGAGCGGAGATGAGTCGAATATGGCAGTTCATGTAAGTTGTTTTATAGGTTTTAAAAAATGTATAAGCCTTATTTGTTTCACGTTACTAACCAGATTTGAAGAGACTTCATATTGTTCTGAAAGCATTTGAACGAGCTTTGAATGTATTCGCAGGATTTATTTTGCTGTGGTTTTTAAAAGTGATATTGCCTTTCAATGAAGGCAGTTCATTCCCAATTAGAAGTTAGTACAGTGACTGTTACTTTTAAATAATAAACCAACGATGATAGCTTATATTTTTCATTATACTAATAAAGCTTTACTGCATCGGGTCTAAAAACACTCGTTATTATATGAGAATAATACATTTCATTTATATCATTAATTTCAAGCTTTCTTAAAATATCTCTGGTGACGTTTGATTCAGAATAATGAAACTTAAGATTTATCTAATTAAAGACAAAAATTTAGTGATACTAGATATGAATATGTGTACCAACGGCGGAGATACTACCAGAAATTTCACGTCACTGGATATTTTTATTACCATTTTTGTGATATTCCTTGTGATATCTAAGATATATTTAAATTTATTTAAAAAATAAAAATTATCAATGACAATACAAATTTTGCATTTTGCTAGAGGTAGCAAGGAAGCTCTAGAAAAAATACGCAAGCAACACTGGCAGACAAAACAAAAACAGCGGTCTGTTTTTCTGGTCAGGTCAGGATAGATATATTTTCCCACCACCACCCATCATTTTCGAGAAAATGCCGCCCAAATCCTTAAAAAAAAATGAATTTGCGAATATGCTTGAGAATTATAACATGGTGCTCCGAAAAATACTTTTACATACACTTCGTCATTTTGGACTTCGTGGGGATCTTCTATTATGGCTCGAGTGTTAGTGTCCTTAGTGGCATGCCCCAGGGATCTGTTTTGGGCGGGTATTGTTTTCAGTGTTCGTTTCTGACCTTACGTGATACTTTATAAATCAAAAACTATAGTTGTAAATAGGATATTGAAACTTTATGAGAGCACTTTTTAAAGCTTAAAATCTCTACTTTAAGATGGTGCATTTTATTTTTCTTAAAAAATTGAAATAGTTGAAAAGACAAAAAATAACAAAAAATTTAAATATTTCATGAAAAATCCGTGAAATTTATTGTTAAATAAAGTTTAATGTACAATTTTTTTTTTTTTTTAATAAACCATCAAAGAATTAAGTTAAGACCTTAAAGAAAGTAAATCCAGCGAAAAATATTTTTTTTATTTATAGTAAAGTGGAAAATTGTTATAACAGCAAAAAAATAACGTTTTTTGATGAATTGATTTAATATTCATTTTTAAAACGTATATTCCGTATTTGAAATTGTGAATACAAGTTCTCCTATTGATGTAGACACAGATATGAGTCTAATATATACAGGGTGTTCGGAAATAGTGGTACTTCACTTTGAGGGTAGATTTGTCGACTGAAACTAAGACAAAAATTTCATATAAACATTGGTTTATATGAAATTTTGAAACCCGTTTGAAGACGACGATAAATGGGTTTTTGCCAATAACTTTTAACTGCTTTGAAGGAGAGGGACAAGTTTTGGATGAGAATTATTTGGTAGTATCCAGAAATCAACTGAACAATTTTTTTTTTATTTATAAAAATGTGGTCATACATGCCCCCGCCCCCCGGTTTGCACGTTTTTATGTTTTCGAGTAAGCTGCAGTTATTAGTGTGTTAAAAAGTGTATTATTCACATATTTTGTACATTTTGAGGTTATACTCTCGTACACTTGTAATTCTTTAATGTAATATTACTACCTAATATTACAAATAATCTTCAGTTTGCATTTAAGGTATTTATATTCGTTTTCTTGACATTGATGTCACCTGTAAATGTGAGATTTAAAAATTAATTATTTTGTAATAAATGTTTTTTAAAAAATAAAACATAATTTTCAATAAAACCTCTTTAGCGAGTTTGCTTTAAAATCGATAATTGTTACATAAATTGTTTATAATAGTCGGCCACATTGGATCAGCCATTTTGAATTTTCATTTTCCGACATCATATTCTTGTTCAGCGACATCGAAAAGCCATATATTGTCAATTTGAAAGAATTCGATTTAAAATTCATTGAATTATTTTAAATGTTCTTAAAAAATCTNAATTTTCTTTCGGCTTTCGTATTGACAGTCGTGTATATGGTGCAATTGTAATATAAGCAAAGACGTATAGCTGCTTGTCCAAATACTCCAAATCCTGAATGGACTAATATAGTTTCCCCTTTCTTCATTTGCCCACGCTGTGAATAAATGTGGATTAAAACGTATGATATATCAGATAATGCCTAAAACATTCTCGTAATTAAACTTACCATCAATAAAGCGTATAGAAGTGTTACATACGCGGTAGGTACAGTGGCTGCTTCTTCCATATTCCAAGAATCCGGTATTTTAAAGGTCAGGTAGGGGTCGGCTAACACTAGACTTGACGGTGCTTCAGAAGCAACTACACCCATAACCCTTTGTCCTCTAAAGAAAAAAAGTAGGTTACTTTCATAATGGGGCAACCCCTCACACTACAAGAACAACAGTTCAATATTTAGTTGATAGTGCCACTCGTGTATTATTGGTTGCCTATGATCGACAGTCACGTGGGCTTATAATCATTTATGAAAGCTCTGAGCAATAGAAAATCGTCGCCATTATTAAACTATAGGCAAGGTACAGTCAAGGCTAAGTAGATATTTTTTACACAGGAAACAACAATTTGTAATAATTAGTAATTTTCAGATTCACTTCTGCATTTACCGAACATCTCTTCCAGAAAACTCGAACCCCTTGGCACTTTCCTGGTCCAACCTTTTTTGACCGTTGGCAACAATGCGTCTTTTTACAGAGACTATCATGCCTTCCTTGAAAATTGTAGCAGCATAGTACACCTGAAACATTGTTATGTTACGCTATCTCAACATTTTACTTATGAAATTTGCTCACATGAACTAGCATTCTTCCTGAGGGAATCTTCGTGTCATGCTGAAGAAATCCTTCCGTCCACTTAACTTGATATAAACCCCCCAGTGAAATTGCATCTACAAAGCAGTGCTCTCGTTCTATAGTGTCCTGTTGATTCAGTGGAAGAAACCTGTAAGTCCCCCACTGTCCATTTTTGTATACATTAACGGCCATATTTTTCTTAAGCTGTTCAGCTATAAAGGGGTGCGTTGATTGGAATTCTTTGTCTTCGTCCATCAAGTACAGGCATCTAAGATGACTGCACTCTGGTTCCCTCCTTAGGCAATTGACGAGGCCTAGCATACCATTATTGTGTTCCTTTTCTGCATGTAGTATTAAGTCATCGTTGTTCCTCAAGGCGACTTGCACCAGGGGTATCCAAGAGAAGTCGTTGGAGTTTATTTTCACGTAATTTGTGTTTTTGACTTTTCCCTGCTTTTGGAGAAGTACCAGTGTCTCCGTCAATGTTCTGTGTACTGTTACAACGACAAGGCTAGGATGGTTAAAGTGGGAATAGTCGTAGTCCAAAGGTTCACGAGATATGATGAAACCATTTGGTTTCAGAGCAGCAAGTGATTGCTCTAGAATCTAGAATAACAATTATTTTGGTACGTTGGAAGTATAAACAATTTAGTTTTGATACTAATGCCAAAAAAGTACATTATAATGTAGTTGTGAAATAAGCCATTATAAGCGAGATGTGTGGTAACAGTTGCAGTTTTTTAACGAAGAACAAACTTGAAGAGATATTTTAAAAAGCTAAGCAGTCAAGTTTAGGTTGTCATCATCTGTCGTCGCGGATAATTGTTGATAAGTACAGTATTTTTGATTTTCAGTTTGACGCATCTTTAAAATTATCTAAAGAAATGTACGACAAAGAATGTTCGTTATTCAAAGTGTGGAAGACAGAAAATGCAGTAAAGTGTCCTCCGAAGAAGTTTTCTTGAACGACAAGAATGCTAATACCCCCACTACTGTTTGTTCTACGGTTTCTGAAGTCAATATTAATAGAATGATGCCTCCCAAAGAAAATAAGCCCCTTTGTGTTAGCTTTGGTAGTGAAATCCAATTTCACAATGCAACATTGCGATGTAGATCTTTGTAAGTCTTATATAATAGAAAACTAGCCTGATCGAAACTAACTTATCAGTTTAGGTTTCTTTTATTAAAAACCGACTGGTAGTCCAGTTACTCAGGGTTTTTACTTCCGAATTCTTTATAACTGAACCGATTGACGTGAAATTTTTACTGAATGTGGGGAATGCCTCAAGGAACAAAACTTATATAGTGACGAAGTGTGATTATGCCCTGGGGGTGGTTCCCACCCTTTTTTGGGGGTGGAAATTTTTACGCCCAAAATAACCACAGGAATCGATAGAGGAGTCAATTTTAAGTAACAAATGTTATATAAAGTTTTTTGGATAATCTTTCCGAGTAATTCGTCATTGAAAATGTTGATTTTTTACTGAAAAAGTGCTTGTTTTAGGACAATTTTTTGCAACTAACTCATTGGATTTAACGAAAAAGTTTTAATGAACAAAAAGAAAGGTAATAAAAAACAAATCTAATGGCATTATTTTGGTTTTCTTTAATTGCAATATAAACGGAGTTATGTATTTTTAAACATTATTATATATGTTGGCTAAAAACTAAATTGGAACCAGTTAACGTTAAATAACGCCAAAACCATAAATATTAGGAAAAAAACTATTTGAACCTTGTTTAAAGTACTTTGAAAACCTTTAAAATGAGCTGTTTTAAAAGTCTAGAATCAAAATTAACGGAAATATGATCGAAATAACATGATAGTCTCATTTTTTTAAGAAAAAAATAATAAACAAATCTGTGCCTTTGGCGACGGAATTAAAATTAAATGCAATCCATTTACAGATTTCTTCATTTATATTCAAAGAATATGTTCTGGGTCTTTAGCTTACTTACAAAGCATGATTTCGAAAAAAACTTAATTTTTGAAAATGTAAATTTTTCCAATTTTTATAAAAATTCGATTTTTAAGAAATATTTTAAAAATACAAGAGTAAAAAAAATGCTTTATTTTTGCTGAAGATTTTGCTTTATTTTTTATTCCTCTAAAATTAATATTAATCTAGATATTGCCATTTTAAGTTTTCATATGACTGAGAGAACCACCCTTTTCGAGCCCTTTAAACCCTTCAAACTTAAAAATGAAGGGCTAAAAAAAGATCAACTCAATAGTTCACGTAGCCCTTACAGTTCCCTGCAAAATGAGCCTTTGTGCGATTAAAAATCTTAAAAAGTAGGAAAGTTATCGTCAAAAAAATAAACACGTTTATAGGTGATAATTTTAGGAAAATTTAGGTCAAATAAGAATTTTTAAGCATTTAGATCTTTTTTGTATATATACGTATTTCGACACGTGGAACATGCTTCGGCGACAACTGCCTAAATTTTCCTCCAATCATCGAAGAGGACGAGCATGATTGTGAAGAGAATAGCAGTGACGACGAATAATCATTTACATATAATTATAATGTTTTTTTTGTATTTATTATTATTAAAAAGGAAAGTAATCTTAATTTTGTGTATGTATATACAGGGTGTTCCTAAATAAGTGTCGCAACGGAACACTGTATATTCCTCTAGTAAAAAGAAACATTCTTTTACTCTTCCATTTTTCTCTCGGGGCTTTCGTTTTCGAGATACACGGTGTCAAAACCTTCATTTTTTTTTTTAATTTTTTGCCAATATCTTAGGAACCGTTTGAACTACAGCACTGAGTTTTTGTACACGCATTATCACTATTAATAGCTACTTTTTTGCACCCTTCTCGAATTCATTGAACTTGCCAGTGGTGGAGAGATTTTAAGTTATCGTAAGGGTTTTTCCCCCCCCTAACTTTTGCACCACTGGAAAAATTGACATTTGACAGCAAATTTTGAAGCGCCAATGAATTTTACACAAAAAGAGTTCTCTTGGTTCATTGCTCTAAAGTCAACCGTTTTTAAGAAAAATTATATTTTATGAACAAAAACAAACATTTTGCTAACGTTTCGAAAATCTTTTGTAATTCAAAAGATAGATAGTAATAATTAACAAGTTTAACGAAATTCAACAACATTTGCCACAAGTAGCTATTAATAGTGGTAATGTGTGTACAAAAGCTCAGTCCTGTAGTTCAAACGGTTCCTAAGATATTGGCAAAAATCTGAAAAAAAGTTTTGAAACCGTGTATCTCAAAAACGAAAGCCCGGAGAGAAAAATGGAAGAGGAAAAGAATGTTTCTCTTTTCAAGAGAAATTTACAGTTTTCCTTTGCGACACTTATTTAGGAACACCTTGTATATAAATGTAAGGGGTAATTTTTAAGGGTTGAAAAGTTGCAATCAATTCAAAATTATTTTATAAGAATGTTTATTTAATACGAATGCACATTTAAAACGTTCTACTTTTTCAATAATATTTTTTCATTTTATTTTCGAAACAGGGGTATTTTTCAAGGGTTGAAAAGTTGCAAGCGATAAAAATCGATTAATCAAGAAATCAATTTTAATTTGATAAAAATGCATGATTAAAACGTTTCAAGTTGAAAAAAATTTTTTATATTATTTTCATCCAAAGGGGTGGTTTTCAAAGGTTTTTCCGGGTTAAAAATTTGGGATACATTAAGTTTCATGTTAGATAGCACATGAAATTACTCATACTGCATAAATAAAAAAGATTTGATTACATAAAATGCTTAAATTTGTATTTTTTCTTTTTTTTCCAATAAGGGGTGGTTTTCACCCCTTAAGAACAAAAAGCACGTTATGGATTTTTAAACATTATTATATGTTAGCTAAAAACTAAATTTGAACCAGTTAACGTTAAATAACGCCAAAACCATAAATATTAGGAAAAAAACTATTTGAACCTTTTTTAAAGTACTTTGAAAAACCTTTAAAATGAGCTGTTTTAAAAGTCTTTAGAATCAAAATTAACGGAAATATGATCGAAATAACATGATAGTCTCATTTTTTTTAAGAAAAAATTACTAAACAAATCAGTGCCTTTGGTGACAGAATTAAAATTAAATGCAATCCATTTACAGATTTTTTCATTTATGTTCTAAGAATATGTTCTGGGTCTTTGGCTCACTTACAAAGCATGATTTCGAAAAAAAACTTAATTTTTGAAAATGTTAATTTTTTTCAAAAATTTGATTTTTACGCTGTAACTTAAAAATTAAAGGGCGTACGAAAAAAATACAACAGTGAAAAAATTAGCTTTTTTTTTTGCTGAAGATTTTGTTTATTATTTTTATTCCTCTAAAGTTCCTCTTTTAAGTTATCATATGAATAAGAGAACCACCCTTTTCGAGCCCTTTAAACCCCTCAAACTTAAAAATGAAGGGCTTAAAAAAGATCAACTCATGTAGCCCTTACAATTCCCTGCAAAATGAGCCTTTGTGCGATTAAAAATCTTAAAAAGTAGGAAAGTTATCGTCAAAAAAATAAACACGTTTATAGGTGATAATTTTAGGAAAATTTAGGTCAAATAAGAATTTTTAAGCATTTAGATCTTTTTTGTATATATACGTATTTCGACACGTGGAACATGCTTCGGCGACAACTGCCTAAATTTTCCTCCAATCATCGAAGAGGACGAGCATGATTGTGAAGAGAATAGCAGTGACGACGAATAATCATTTACATATAATTATAATGTTTTTTTTGTATTTATTATTATTAAAAAGGAAAATAAAAATTTATAAAATAATCTTAATTTTGTGCGTGTGCATGTGCGTGTCTGTGTCGGTGTCGGTATCGGTGTCTGTGTATGTGTCTGTGTCTGTATCTCTGTCTGTGTCTGTGTCTGGGGTAATTTTTAAGGGTTCAGAATTTGCAATCAAGAAGGGAATAAATGTTTATTTAATACGAATGCACATTTTAAATGTTTCTCTTTCAATAATACTTCCTTATTTGATTTTCGAAAGAAGGGATATTTTTCAAGGGTTGAAAAGTTGCAATCGATAAAAAAGATTTTTTTATCAAGAAATCAATTTTAAGTTGATAAAAATGCATGGTTTTAATCATTTCAAGTTGAAATTTTTTTTTATATTATTTTCATCCAAAGGGGTAATTTTTAAAGGTTTTTCCGGGTTGAAAATTTGGGATACATTAAGTTTCATGTTAGATAGCACATGAAATTACTCATCCTGCATAAATAAAAAAGATTTGATTACATAAGATGCTTAAATTTGTATTGTTTCTTTTTCCAATAAGGGGTGGTTTTCACCCCTTAAGAACAAAAAGCACACCTAGCGCATATATAAGTTTTGAAGTGAGGGATAAGATGAGCCTAATTCTAAATTTTGAGAAAAATCGATGCAGTTATAAAAAATCGGAGGTATTACTGTTTCCAGCTACAGTAACTGGGCTAGTAAGATGTCTTGTTATTCACGTACAAGCAATAGCCTTTTGGAAAGCTTCCGTGATAAACACTGTTTATAACTGTGTACAGAAATTGTCTTATATTCAATTGTATTCTTATCTGTTATTTTTTATTGCACTTGATATATAAATAAACATTATTATTATTATTATTGTTATTGTTACTGTTACTGTTACTGTTACTCATACTATTACTATTACTATTACTATTATAAATAATTAAATAAACTTTTACATACATAACAGTACATTTCAAGTAATGGAACACATATCAGAAATAAACTCATCAGTACTAAAATAGTATTTCGTCATAAAAAAATTTTTAGTGAAATTGTAAAATGATTTG